TTCGCTTTATTTATTTTCAGTCAAATCGGGTTCGGTTTTTTTGGCGATGTGGACCCGCGCCGGTTGTAATAATTTAGGTTTATTTTCTTGCAAATATATAACTGTTAATAAATATGCATGAAAGAATGAATGCCCAAAAAATAAAATCGAATCGTTAGATCACCAATACATGACAAGACAAACAATAAACTGAAAATGACACACAATTCGCACACACCACCCCTAGGGTACGCCTCACTGTTGCCTTTCGAAAGGTGGTCATCGAGTAGAAAACGTCTTAGTAAGTCCTCATGGTCCGGGAACCTGGCATGAGGGTAGCTTCTAAGGTGTCTTCCCATTGCTCCGGTGATCACCATGTCCCTAAAATCGAATTGACCCGAACACCTCCAACGGTGGTGCTACCTACCTCTCAATGGTGGGATGGCACTACTTTAAAGGACATCTACACAGACGAATTCCTTAGGGTAGGTAGGTTCTCAAGGGTACTTGCTCTAATTTCAAACAAAACAAAAACTCTTTTCACACCAACACTTTCAAAAAACTTTCAAAACAAACTTTTCAAACACTCTGACGTATGAGTTGACCTGAAACTTTTCAAAGAATATTTTTGAAACCCACATTGAAAAGCAAGCACACATTTTGAAAACACATTGAGCAAGTACCTAAGAGCCCATGGATAACCATGGATAGAAAGGGTGCTAACACCTTCCCTTTCTATAACCTACCTCCCGAACCGAGAGCAATCTCTATAAAGGAATTTTTCTGTGCTTTTGTCCTTTCCATTTGGAGAAAATAAAAGACGGTGGCGACTCTTGCTTCCGCGACATTTCGCGAACCAGCTTTAAAACAGTCAGTTCCAGATCCGCCGATCACATCCCCCATAGCATCGAACAAACATCTTCATAGCTTTCTTTGTTAGTTTCCCCCTCATCAATTTGATCTTCTTCAAATCAGGGACCACGACGCTAACTCGGATAGTTTGTTTCTTATTGACATTCATCTTTAGGATACTCACTAAAAACCTTTGATTATTTTTTCTTAGGAATCATGTGAATAAAATAACACAAATGCAAAAGTAATAAATATTTTGAAATGCAAGATGTAAGGACAGAGAAGTAACGGATAATCCTAATTATTTAGATATTCTAAATTCGCGAGTTGGTTAGACGAAGGGAAGGTGTTAGGCACCCTTCATCTCCATTGTTCTCAAGGGACTCCTTTTTTAGGTCAAAGGGGTAAGTCGGGGATTTCCTATTTAACTATGTTGTTTCCATGTATTTAAGAAAATACTTTATTTTTTAGTTATGAACTCACATCGGTTTTAACTGCGTGCATACGTATCTTCTTGCGAAGAATCAGAGTCCAAATTCGTAGTTCGTATGTGTTTGGTTAGTTTGTTTTTATGGATTATGGAAATGTTTTAGAATTATCCTTGAACCTTGTTAGGGTTTGAAAGTAGCATAGTCGTAGACGAAGTTCGCAGTTAATATAGAAAATATATCCACAATCCTTTTTTGAAAATAAAGTTGAATTTGAGATTAAGTTAGTGAAAAATATGTCAAGTTTGATTGTTTAGCTATCTTAAATGCATGATGCAATTTGGGAAAAAAAAATTTAATGATGAAAAAAATATTTGATGAATTGATAAAAAGGGTTAGTATTTTGAAAATAGTAAATAAATAACCATTTTCTCATTATTGGGAAAATATTAAATATTTTCAATAATAGTCAAATATTTATTTATCACCATGATTGTTTTATGACAAAAATGCTAAAATTATTTTAATGCAAAATGATAAAAAAATGATATGAGAAGAAAATTAATAATTATATATAATATATAAATTAAATAAATAAAACAAAAAAATAATTAAATTAATAAAAAAAATCATTTAATTAAAGACAGAGGGTGCATTTCTTATTAACGTAGTAAAATAGGGGGGTTGAAATAGCAAGGGCCTAAGCTCAGAGTTTTGTTTGAGCCCAATATACAAGGAGGGTGTAAATTATGTTGGGGTAGCAATTCTGGAGTGTGTGAAAAGAAAGGGCTTCAAGCCCAAACATTATGCTGACCCAAGAGCGCCAAGGCATGTTAACGATGTTGAGGAAGTAATCTGGGAGGGGAAAATAGGATTAGGCTTGACCTAGGGTGAAGTTTGGATTTGTTTGATAAAGTTTGGGGAGGTGCAAAGGGTTATAGTGTGGCAGCGAGAACAAAAGCGTCTTATTTTAATCATATGGCCTCTAGAGGTTAACTTTGAGGCGTTGATCAAAAGTAGGAAGAACGAAGGGCTTGGATTCGTTGTTGACTGAGGGAGTACCATATGATGCACATACAGAGGGACTAGGAGGCTTTATATTCGTTTTTGCTCCATTTTTCCCATTTTTTCACTTTGTCTCTCTCTACCCAAAACCCTTCTTACTAAACACAATTTTTAGAAAGAGATGCTCTCTCCCATCTCTCTAGATTTCCAGTGATCGGAAATCGCCTCAGCCGGCGGCGCTGCCTTGCGCCACCCTGAGTCACCCCCACAACCACCACGAGACCTAAATCTTTGGTTAAAGTTTAATCGGAATCTTCAAACATTCAAGCACCCAACCCAGAAACCCATGAACCTTAACGAAGAACAAGAATCCTAACGAACCCTAGGCTCCAACCATTGTAGGCGGCCGTCAAGGTCATCGCGTGTGATGTGTGTTTGCCAGAAACACCATCAATTTCCAGAAACTTGTCAAGAACCCTAATCCTAACCCCTTAAACATATGAACCATAACCCCATCGTGAGGAACCCTAACCCTAACCAACCATAAACCTAACCCTAAATTTCCAAAAAAACACCAAACCAACCCTAATCAAACACAAACATGCATCAAATTAATGCATAAGCTAAGTTTTGGCTTACCTCTCCACAGTGAAACTTTTCGTAATTTGATTCATCTTCGCCTCTTTTTGATCCCTTTCTTTCTCTTTGTTTGTAGGTACAGAGGAATTAGGGCTAAGCTCAATGAATTTAGGATTTTAGTTGTGAAATCCTAAATCTTTCAAGATAAGGAGCTTTAGTGAGGGTTAGGGAAATCACAACAATAAGCAAGGATTTTCATATATTCTTTTTCTTCAATTCTGTTTAGCACTTAGGTTTTTATAGGCTTAGGAAATTAGTTAAATTAGGAGGTTGTTTAATGTTGTTTGTTGTTACAATTTGAAATAGGGATTGATTGAATCTTAGATTAGGATTTGATTTGTATATTAGTTAGATTTAGTTAGATATGAGATTTGATTAGATTTGATTGTAATTAGAAAATTAGGATTTATGAAATTGTAATATTCTTGGACGATCTTATGATTGTTTTCATTCAATCAATAAAAGATTTTTGCAATCTTTGATTCTGTTTCAGGTTTGATTAAAAAATATTTGCATATTGGGCTTTTAGTTATTATCTTGGGAACGAAGGGTCCAAAGCGTAATACTGAGATTAGGATTTACAGACTCTTGTTGACTTAGTCAACAAAACAACACCTTAAACAAATTTTGCAACAATAATAATATAAATGTTAAATAATAATAATAACAATGATAATATATATAAGAAAATCAAATAATTATAATAATGTAAAAAATAACCAAAGTTGTGTTGACTTCGGTCAACTCTAAATAGATAAATATAAAAATTAAAACTAATTAACTTAATTTAATTGACATGGGCCTCTCAACAATTCCTAATGGACCAATTTAATCAATAAATAATGAACCCCTCAAATAAATCGTAAAACACCCCTCCCCACAACTGAATCTCAATATAAATTTTAGAATAAACAATTAATAAATGTAAATATCGGTTAATTACAATTTTAAACAAAAATATAATAACACCAAATTTAATGAAAATAAATGATCAACTAAAATAAGTTAACCATTAACACCAGTAGGGCAAATTTGGGGTATGACTGGAACCTTTGTGTATTACTCTGTTCAACTGTCGCACCACTGCAAACCGAATCGCACACCACTGTTGTTTCTGGTTCTCTTTTCTGACCATGAAAACTTCACCATCTTCAACTTGTGCCGCCCCATCATCAGCGTACAGTCACCATGAATTCACACACAAATCTCACCGTTTCCACGTGATTTTGATTAGATTTAGACAGGAGATATGAAAAAAATTGAGAAAAATAGATGAAATACAGAGAGAGAATTTTAGAAAGAGGAAGAGAGATAGAGAAAGAGAGGTCTTTGTTGGAAGTGATGAGAAGATAGAGGAGGCAAAAGCTATTTTTTAGGAAGTAACGAGTCCCTTTTGCTCAATCAATTTGCAACAGATATTATTGGAAAGATGAAAAAAGTCTCCTTATAGTTCCATTTGAAGTATAAAAAGTTAAGTCAAGTGTAATTGATGAATTGAATAATACAAAGTGAGAGAAGTAATACTTATAAAAAGACAAAGTTAGAATTTGGTTAGAAAAAACAATATGTAGATTCATTTTAACCTCCAAAACAATAGGTATAAGACTTTTAGTAAAGGACAAATTGAAATTTTCCAAGTATATTTATTTTCTTATATCATAGATAATATGATTACACTTCACTCTCCTCTTAATGTTAGCATCAAAGAACTTGGAATTAACATCAAAGTACTTGGAGTTAACACCATTTTCTTTCAACCAATAAGCTCTCAATCTTTGAAAAGCCAACTAGTCTTTACAAATTACACCATAGGAGCCCATATGATGGCTTAACCAATGTAATGAGAACTCCAAAGTAAAAGAGAAGATTTGTACCTACCAAAACGGTTGCAGCTACCAAAATTCAATTGTGAAATATGTGTTATATGTTTGTCACTTCCACGTACAACATCTTACAATTGCTAATAACAACAATTAACATATTTGTATGTCTTTTAACTAAATTCCTTACTTGGTCACTATCTTGCCACGCTTCATGTTCTTTTCTCTTTCATATGATTCTCTCTTGCAATTGCCACCACCAACCCACAACACTTCCATGGCCTCACGCTCCCCTCGCCTTCTCTCACTAGCCAGAAGGGCCTTTTCTTCAGCATCTTCTCAAGCTAATCGGGTTTCCTTAGTTCAAGGAGCTTCCAGAGGAATCGGCCTTGAATTCGTAAGCTTTTTTCTCTTCCCCAAAATCTATGTTTTTTTTTTTTTTTTCATTCTGAGTACTTCTCACAATGTCAAAAATGTATACTTTTCTTCATGGGCATTGTATAGGTGAAACAACTGTTAGAGAACAATGATAAAGGACATGTTGTTGCTACTTGCCGTAATCCTAATTCATCAACTGGGCTTCTCCATTTGAAGGATAGATTTGATGATCGTCTTCAAATTTTGCCTTTGGATTTGACTGTTGAAAGTTCTGTTCAGGTTATGCTTCTTTTCCCACCATTTGTTTCTTGTTTCTCTCTGTCATTTTTACATACACTAAGCGTGCAAGGATAGAACTTTCAACTGTTCTATTGGGCGATTATATGACACAAGTCTCTCCTTAATTATTACTGTTAGATTAAAAAAACTCCAAAAACCTATTTAGTTCTTAAGCTTTGTCTATTTCATAATATTTCAGGCATCTGCATTGTCGATAAAAGAGACATATGGCCATCTAAACCTTCTCATTAATGCATCTGGAATTCTTTCAATACCTAAAGTATTGCAACCTGGTAAATGTTTTTTCATTATTTGGTAATGAACATAACAGAATATCCAGGTACACTCTATTACCGTATTTTATGTTTCTTACAAATGTTTTTTAACTGATTATACTAGTTATGTATACTGTACAGAAACCACATTGAACAAATTGGAGAAGTCATCTTTAATGCTTGCTTATGAGGTTAATGCCGTCGGTCCTATCTTGGTTATCAAGGTAACATCAATCTGAATTTCGTTACAAATTTTTTCTTTGCTTATCTCGTTATCATGATTTTAGAAGTGAATATGCTCTTTGTATGTGTTTCTTTTCCTTCAATGGTTTGAATGAATGTGTTCTCAATAGTTTGAGCCAGCTTTTAATTCTGTGAATTTCTAAACCAGCACATGTGGCCTCTTCTAAAAGCTGGAGGTGGCATTGGGACTGAAAGAAGTGGTGCAGTTGTGGCTAGTTTGAGTGCAAGGGTTGCATCTATTGGTGACAATCGTATCGGTGGTTGGCATTCATATCGATCTTCGAAGACTGCTCTTAATCAATGTATGACTCTTTTTTCATGATCACAGTCCTGTTTGTTAGTTCTGTTTGAACTGACTTATTTGAACTAATATACTAACACAAGGGTTTTTTTATTCCGCATACGTTCTATCAGTGTCGAAGAATGTGGCATTGGAATTTGCAAGGAAGAAGGATCCAATCATATGTATTCTATTGCATCCTGGTACAGTTGACACAGATCTTTCTAAGCCATTTCAAAAAAATGTTCCTAAAGAAAAGCTGTTCAGCAAAGAGTTCTCAGTCCAAAAGCTGTTACACATTATCAACAATGTGAAGAGCCAAGACAATGGCAAGTTCTTTGCATGGGATGGTCAAGAAATTCCTTGGTAGCCTACATATTTATGTCAAATAACATATACCATGTAACAATGATATTGATAATAAATGTCAAACCTGCACTCAGTCAAAAAGTACTATAGATTTGTATATCAGAATAAAATTCATTGATTCATTCATACTTGTTAAAACTTGTATTCAAACAAAATACATGATTTTTTTAGGTATGAAAAATCATATAAAAATACATGATTGAACTATAATTTGAAAGTCTGGAAAGCTTGATCTTTGGTTTGATTATAAAAATATTGATACTAGTCAGGAAATTTGGATCGTATGGCTGAGGTTGAAGTCGAATGATTCGCATTTGGATGTTGAACTTATTCACTCACCTCTTAACTTGATGAAATGGTCTATTCTCACTACAGGCAATCTGAATATGATGGTGAAGTTTATTGGAGGCTATGATTATCTCAGAAGAAATTTAGGTGTGGTAGTTTAGTATGGGAGAAAGTGATAAGTGATTAATGCAATTGAGAATGATAAGATTCTACGTGTGATGTGACTCGAGTGCAAACTTTTGCACTTAACAGACCAACTTGTGTATCAATCAAAATGGCCACATGAATAGAGTTACTGTACTATTCGACAATAATATACCATACAACTGGATGCAATGTTTCCTGCAAAAGTACATAGGATAATATTAATATTTAGAAGATTCAACATGTGTAATATTCTATTATGAAACACATATACGATATTAATAGATAAAAATATTTAAAAAAACTCGTTAAACATATACACGTGTGTTGTCTAATAACACATATCAGATATCTAACACATCTTTTATTAATATAAATGTTCGTGCTTGCATTGTCTTCTGATAGAGTTAGTTGTTAATTGTTTGTCAGTTTGTTTAATAAGTCTTAGTATTTAGGAGGACCTATTCTTTAGGAGTTTAGTTAGTGTTTTGATTATTTCCACTGTATTATAGGGCTGTTAGATGTCGTTGCTATTTATTCTCTCAGTCACGTTGTATTGAATATATATAGCCTCAGTTTGCTATCATTTAATAATATCTCCCTTCCAATTGCTATAACAGTTTCTGAGTTTTAACAATTGGTATCAGAGTTCTGTAAAGGGCATGGTTGTGTGAAAAGGTGTGAGTGAAACAGAAAGAGAGAGAGAGAGAGAGAGAGCAGAATCTCAACATCAGAGAGGTTTATGCAATCCTCCATCCCAAAATTCGACGGCCATTACAATTTTTGGGCGATGACGATGGAGAACTTTATGAGAAGTGAGGAGACGTGGAGTCTGGTGGAGTAAGGAATACCAGCACCGACAATTGGGACGTCGTCAGCAAATGAGGCACAGAGGAAGATGGTGGAGGAAGCCAAACTCAAAGATTTAAAGGTCAAAAACTATCTATTCCAGGTAATAGATAGACAAATTCTAGAGACAATTCTCGACAAAGGGACGTCGAAGACAATCTGGAATTCAATGAAGCAGAAGTATCAAGGATCCACTAAGGTGAAAAGGGCTCAACTTCAGGCACTAAGAAGAGAGTTTGAACTTCTCGCCATGAAAGAAGGAGAAAAGATAGACAGTTACCTGGATCGAACCTTGTCTATAGTAAACAAAATGAAGTCGAATGGCGAGACAGTAGAGCAGAGTAGAGTGGTCAGCAAGGTACTTAGATCTTTGACTCCTAAATTCAATTATGTTGTTTGTTCAATAAAGGTGTCAAATGATTTAAGTACGTTAAGCATCGATGAATTGCACGGGAGCGTGTTGGTTCAAGAACAGAGGATACAGGGCTATCATGAGGAGGAACATCTGTTGAAAGTGGCTCATGAAGACAGAGCAGGCAGGGGAAGAGGTCGAGGCGCATTCAAAGGAGGATGTGGTCGAGGTAGAGGAAGACAACCTCTAAGCAAAGCAACCATTGAGTGTTTCAAATGTCATAAGTTGGGACACTTTCAATATGAATGTCCTGATTGGGAAAAGAAAGCAAATTATGCCGAGTTAGAAGAAGAAGAGGAGCTTTTGTTGATGTCATATGTAGAGCATCATGAAACAAAGAGGGGCAAGGTGTGATTCCTCGACTCAGGATGCAGTAATCACATGACCGGGAATAGAGAATGGTTCCTTGATCTGGAAGAAGAGTTTAGCCGAATAGTAAAACTCGGGAATGACACAACAATGGCGGTGGTTGGAAAAGGAAACATAAGAGTGTAAGTGAATGGCATAACCCAGGTGATTTCTGATGTTTACTATATTCCTGAGCTTAAAAGCAATTTATTAAACTTGGGACAACTTCAAGAGAAGAGAATAGCAATCTTGATTCAAAATGGGACTTGCAAAGTGTTTCACCCTAAGAGAGGTTTGATTATGCAAAGTGATATGAGTGGAAACATAATGTTCTTTGTGTTAGCCTCCATAGAAACAAAGAGCTCTATGTGCTTAAAGACTGAAGGAGTGGCTGAAAAAGAAGCTCACATGTGGCACTGCCAGTTTGGGCACTTGAATCACAAGGGATTGAGAATGTTGTCTATCAACAAGATGGTAATTGGTTTACCTTTGCTGAAAAATACTTAGAAGATATGCACCACATGTTTGTCTGGAAAGCAACATAGAGAGTCCATACCCAAGAAAAGCTTATGGAGGGCATCAAAACTGCTTCAGCTAATCCATTCAGATATATGTGGTCCTATCACGCCAACTTCTAGCAGCAACAAGAGGTACATTTTAAGTTTTATCGATGACTTTACTCGTAAAACTTGGGTCTATTTCTTGCATGAAAAATCAGAAGCTTTTGTCACATTCAAAAACTTCAAGGCTTGTGTTTAAAAGAAGACATGCACATACATAATATGTTTGAGGACAGACAGGGGTGGTGAGTTCAACTCAAATGAGTTTGAAGAATTTTGTCAATCATAAGGCATTAGTAGGCAATTGACAACAGCCTATACCCCCCAGCAGAACGGCGTTGCCGAGAGGAAGAACAGGGCAATTATGAATGTTGTCCGATCCATGCTAAGTGAGAAAAAAGTTCCCAAAACTTTATGGCCGGATGCTGTGTGATGGTGTGTGCATATTCAAAATCGATGTCTAACAGCAGTAGTTCAGAATACAACACCGGAAGAGGCATGGAGTGATAAGAAATCAGTGGTGGAGTATTTTCGAATCTTTGGTTGTGTAGCACATGTCCATGTGCCAGATCAAAAAAGGAGCAAGTTGGATGATAAGAGCAAAAAATGTATTTTTTTAGGTGTCAGTGAAGAATCAAAAGCTTGGAGATTATGTGACCGGGTTTCAAATAAAACCATCATCAGCAGAGATGTAATTTTTGAAGAAGAAGAAAGCTGGGATTGGGGAAGAACACACAAGGAGATCAAGGGGGATATATTAGAATATAGTGATGGTATCATTGAAGATGAAAGTGATGATCAGATTGAAGAAGAAAGTGGTGAAACAAGAAATTCAAGCAGCAACTCAAATGAGGAAAATCTAAGTACACCTGAAGTGCTTGACGCAACTGGAGAATCAGTTGAAGGGAGGGGAGCACGAGAAAGAAGAGCACCAGGTTGAATGGAAGCTTATGAAACAGGGGAAGGACTTTCAGAGAAATAGAATCTCAATGTAATGTTGGCAATCACTGATCCTGTTACATTTGAAGAAGCAAATAAAAGCAAGAAATTGAGGGAGGCAATGTCAGCAAAAATTGAGGCCATAGAAAAGAATCATACTTGGGAGCTTACAGTATTGCCTAAAGGAGTCAAGCCTATCAGAGTTAAGTGGGTGTTCAAGACTAAGCGTAATGAAGTTGGAGAAATGGAGAAATTCAAAGCAAGATTGGTTGCAAAAGGGTATGCGCAACGTCATGGAATAGATTACACTGAAGTATTTGCTCCGGTGGCGAGGCTTGACACCATTCGTGTGATACTTTCAATGGCTGCTCAGTTCAGTTGGGAGGTCTTTCAACTTGATGTAAAGAGTTCCTTTCTTAATGGTGAACTCAAGGAGGAAGTGTTTGTGCAGCAGCCAGAGGGATTCATTAAAAAGGGAGAAGAAGAGAAAGTCTACAAGTTGAAGAGAGCACTTTACGGACTAAAACATGCACCGTGAGCGTGGTATAGCAGAATTGAAGTCTACTTTGTGCATGAAGGGTTTGAAAGATGTCCAAATGAGCACACCTTGTTCACCAAGATAAAAGGAGGTAAATTTTGATAGTTAGCCTATATGTTGATGATTTAATTTTTACCGGGAATGATAGAAGCATGTGTGACGAGTTTAAAGCTTCAATGATGTTAGAATTTGATATGTTTGATTTTGGAAAAATGAAATATTTCTTGGGGATAGAAGTCAAACAGTGTTCAAATGGAATATTCATATGCCAGAGAAGGTATGCATGGGAAGTATTAGCAAGGTTTGGTATGGAAAATAGAAATGCATTCAAGAACCCAATAGTGCCAGGTACAAAGTTGTACAAAGATGAGGATGGAGTTGGCGTTGATGAAACTCTATACAAGCAAATGGTTGGAAGCCTCATGTATTTGACTGCGACTAGGCCTGACTTAATGTATGGTGTTAGCTTGATAAGCAGGTTCATGACAAGTCCTACTATGTCACATTGGCTCGCAGCAAAGAGAATTCTGAGGTACTTAAAAGGTACAACAGGTCATGGAATTTTCTACAAAAAGGGAGATATCAGCTTGAAACTTTTGGCATTTACGGATAGTGATTATGTCGGTGACTTGGATGACCGAAGAAGTACATCTGGATTCGTATTTATGTTGGGAGCTGGAGTTGTTTCGTGGTCATCAAAGAAACAACTGGTGGTTGCTCTGTCTACTACAGAGGCAGAATATATAGCTGCGATGATGTGCGGTTGTCAGTGCGTTTGGCTCAGGAGGATATTGGAGAAATTTGGAATTGAAGAGAAGACTAGTACGGTGATCATGTGTGATAACAACTCCACCATACAGTTATCGAAGAATCCGGTGTTTCATGGCAAGAGTAAGCACATTGATGTAAGATTACACTTCCTT